CTCTTTCCTTGAATAAAATTATAAACATGAGTCATCTCTAATACTCTAGGTAGACACTATAATAAAAGGGAAATGCTAGAATAAATCAGTTCCTGGAATCAGCAGATGACATGATGGTAACATCAGTGGTCTCCCATGTAGTTGACCTCAGTTCAAGTCCTGGACCTGGTGGCTTAAAACTCACAGTGGACGTGTGTGCGTGCATGCCCAAGTTCCCAAGAGGAAAAGAGAGGAGGAAAGATTGTGGTGAGGCCATCCCCTGTGGAGGATGATTTCTCATTTTCTGTCTCTCTGTCTCTCTATGTCTCTGGTGAGCACACACGCCCTATAGTTAAAAATCTCTCTAAAAAAATCGCAATCAAATAGAATAAATAAATTCCTTCTTCATTCATGTGACTGGGCCTGATTAACTAAATTGATTAATCATATAGTTTGATTAGTAGCCTGAGGGATAATTTTATTCAGGTCATTGCTTGGAGTTTCTGCTCCTATCAAATCAATTTTAAACAAATAAATGAGACTTAAGCTTGATATTTCTCCATAAAACTATTAAGTTCTATTTAATAAAAATGTTACCTAAGGTACACATTCTGAAAAAATTATATTTGTTATTTTCAAGAAATATAATATTTTGTATTTTTCTTTGTTCTCACCTTTTATCTAGACTGTAGATTGCCTTATCAACTCTAGATTTAGGGGTTGAGAATTTGCTTCTAGTTTTCAGTTTGGTTCTATGCATAATAAGCTTACATGTGAATATATTTACATGATTATAATAAATAAAAAATTATTGCTCTAGGAAAATATTTTCACATAGAAATTTTATTGGAGATTTCAATTAATCCTACCAATAGTTTGTGGTCTGTTGTGGTCAAGTGTAAGTTCCCTCATATAGAAGCTGTGCACTGGTTTTATTTTCATAAATGAAATGTAAATTTTATTTTGCATGCCTAAATCTAATCTAAATTTGATTCTCTATTTCTTGAAAATAGTTGTAAACAAGTACTTATTCTGATAAAATATCGAGGCGCTGAACATTGAGAGTTCTATTTTTAAACTGTTTGAAGTGCAAAAATAAAAAAAGAAAGATATAAACATTAAAAAGATGTAATTAGCGCTACTAATTTATGTGGGTTTTGTTTAATTTTTAGTGTGTTTATGGTTTCCCAATTTGGGGTATAATTTTATGATTCATGTTGCAGTCAAAAATAGTCCTGAAAGTAAAGCTTTGTGGCTCTAGAATCTGTAGTGGAAATTAAATAAAAACCCTTCCTTCATTGCTGGCACCACAGTGACCCTTACTAATCTTATCACAACTGTACTGGGCAGAAAAAAGAAACATGCCAGGTGGGAGAAAACTGGTGGCTGCATGATGACATTTATCATGGTGCCACTGCTGTTAAACTTTGTAATAATACTATTGTGATATTCTGTTGCTCATTGCTCCACTCAACATTAAATAGGCCAAAATTAAATGAATTTTGATGTAAAAATATTAATAACTTGCTGTGAACTCAAATTTATTTTTTTTAAGAATTATTTTATTTAACTTTATTTATTTATTTTATTTTGACCAGAAACAGAGCGAGTGAGCAAGTGAGAGAGAGAGAGTGTGTGAGAAAGCAAGCTACTGGGTCCAGGACTTGAACTGTGGTCAGCCATGTGGGAGTCCAGCGCCCTTAACCACCATGCCACCTGCTGGACCCTGTGAACTCAAATTTTATGCTATAAATCTGTGTAAATTTTAGAGGTTTTGGAAGATGACTTCTCTGTCATGAATATTCTATAATGAACACAATTCCATATGCTACCAAACTATTGATAATTTTTCTAAAAACTGCTTTCTATACTCTCTCGGTATGTTCTTTTGAAGAAACATCTTACTCAATGTGGATTAAAAATTTTAGAATCTTTGCTCATTTCAGTACAGGAGTGAAATGTTCCTAGAATATCTTACACAAGACTCTGTAGTCTCAAGTTTCATCACACTCACAAGACTAAAGATTGTGGGAAAACATAAGCTATCTAGTAATATTTGACTAATTGTGAGAGTATATTCACTGCTTTGAAATAAGGTTTTTAAAATGTTTGAGAAATAAATTTAAAAAGTGAGTTACAAAGGTAGTTAATCCTCTCTATTTTTAAAAATAAATTTGATCCACTGTGAGTACATATTCTCAGAAATGAAAGCTTTATGTTATAGCACACTTGACATTTGAATACTTATTATCAAATACTTAAGAAGAACAATTATATTTCAGGACAAAATATTATAATCAAACAAACAAACAAAAATCTGTATATTCAGATTTACTCAAAGTAACTGGGAGTAAATATTTACTAGTTGTACAAAATGCCTATAAATTGGACACACTTCATGACTTCTTTAAGTGATATTTCTAACTTTTCTTTGGGTTTATATCTAAAATCCTTAAATAAGAGTTTTGGATAAAAATTATAACTTTTAGGATATCATTTGACTGAAATATTGGGTTGTCAGAAAAATCATGATATATTTTTTTCTATTTTTCTATGCAAAATTGTGTCATGACTTTTTCAACAACCCAATAAGAAACTATATATATACATATGTTTCTGTTAAGATGATATATATTATATATAGTATAATATATATAATCT